TACCTATCATGAGTACAATGAACACACACTTTTCTTAAATTCATAACACAATCTAATCTTTTTGAACTTTTTAGGAAAGACATTGCAGAAAAAGTAACATTTTTTTCCAAAGAGATTATTAGAGAGGAAAATTAGACTATTAGAAAATTAGACTATTAGAGAGGAAAATTAAAAGCTTTTCTGATTCCCCCACCCCCCATTTTTCCACTTTCACAATGCTAGTGTTAATATACAACATAAAAGTTATAACTTAAAATGCCAAAATGCTCTCAAGATGCCTTCTGTTTCTACAGAAGGTGACGAAGCCAATTATTTCAACTTGTGTTGTGTGACTTGAGAGCTTTTAAGAATTTTCAAACCTCAAAACAATGCTGCTCTCACATGATAAGTAAGATAGGTAATTCAGTTATAACAATCTTTTGCTGCTGATGACTTTAGAAGGGACAGTGATACAACCTTACCGTACTTATGCCAGCTCCTGTATATACAATAAGATGTTTAGCTCCTCGGACAACAGCAGATAGCTTGCTGACTTTTCTCTTCAATTCGTCAGGCTCATCACACACCTAAAAAAAGAAGAGTAAAAATCTCATATTTTCCAAAATGATGAAATCCACACATTTCTTTTCTAGCTTTTGTCCATTCCTGTAATTGTAGCTTTACAATAAAATAGATTTAGCTTATCTAGTTGTGTTTCTTGTCTGGTTTAGCATCAATCTTGCCAGTCTAAAAGCACAACCTTCCTCCCCTCCACTTTTGTCTGCTTGTTCCATTAGGATGGGTCCTTCCTTAGTTTCCTTCTTTGATTGTTAAGTGACTGAGGACTCCTGCCCCTCTTGTCTGATTGTTTCCCAGGCAGGCTCTCTTGTCCTCTTTCCTTGAGGTCTCCCATGCATTCCATTACCATAACTAATTTATTTGGAAAGCTTAACATCATTTATATTCTTTCAAGCAGATGAAATGTGGATGAAAGCAGAGACTGAATTTTACAATATCAAGTAGCCAAATTAGAAATTACATACTCTTCTGAATAAGCACTGACTCTCCTACCATGTACTTATAAACCTACTTGATGCCTCAATGAAACATGCCGGAACTGTTCATTAATATATTTATCTTTATTATCTCTACCTTTAATTATTATCTTTCTTCTTCAAAGTAGAAAAAAATTAATTGCCCAAAAAAGAGATACAGATAAACTAACAGGTTCCTTTTCTGTAAATTTGGCAGAAATCTTATCTAGTTTTGTCTGTCAGCAAGGAAAACCACAAAATTCTCAACAAGCAAAACCAGTTCAAAAGACAATTACATTAGATTGTTTAAAGCCTATGGAGGGCAACCAACTTAATTGGTTAAGGAGGGTTAGATTCAGATCTGCCTTTCCAGAAACAAAAGGCCTTCAGTTCACAATTGGAAATGAAATCCAGTGAAAACCTCTCCTGAAAGAAACTATAGAAGTAACTTCCATTGTTCATTTGTCTGTTTAAGTTACAATCATTTTTCTTCTGCTGCTTACGCTCATGAATAGCTTTTAAATGCTAAACAAAACTTCAGAAAGACATTCAGGGAAATGGAACAACTTGGGTTCTCTTCAACCATGAGCACAAGCGTCACACAGAGATTCATTCAGAGATGTTTATGCTACACATTTAAAGGTCAATTTACATTTGAAGCTTTTTGTATACCCATATCTATGTTAAAAAATGTTAAAAAATTGCAATACAAAAATAAAAATGTAATCAGAAGTTTTTAAGATGCAGAAAACCAGTTGAATGAGAAAAATTTTCTCACAAATTTTGGACAGTATAAAAAGCGGTGCATATTTATTTACAAAGAAAGTTAGATAGTAAAATATTTCTATTTTCTAAATTCAACCAAATAGATACTAGTGAAATAGAAATATATACTATTACTTTCCAGTAGCAGTAAAGTTTAATTTATATGAAAAATATAGGTAAGTGCTGTTAGTTATCTTACCCCCCAAACACAGAAGACTTACAGAAGTGACAGATTTATTGTGCCACATGTTTTCCCCTGCAAATTAAAATACTCTCCAGCCATTCTTTAATATACTACTGTATACTACTTAAATTCTGATTCTTGTGACCTTTAGCTGGGTGAAACAGTGCACCATAGGGCAAAACATTTTCAAGCAAGGTACCTCAAGTGAGCTAACTTACAGAATGCATCCAAAATCAAGGATCCATAACTCATGTGGTATTGAAATTTGGCAAATTTTATAAAACATTTTATGACATAAAATAATCATAAAACAGTTTATGATATAATACAAAATGATTTTGTATTATGTCACATTATTATGTCACAAAACATTCCGTGCTAATGTTTGACTGTGCTATAGAGTTCAGCTAGTTTTAAGGCAGATACATCTCTGAATGTATCCTGGCTTTTTCAGTGAAGGCTGTGCATTAGAAGCCATTAGAAGCTCTGGCACTGCTGAAAGTATGGGGTCCTTGGTGCTCTCTGCGCTTGGTGATTTTCTTACAGACGTTTCATTACCAAACTAGGTAACATCATCAGTGCTAGCACTAGTGATGAGCACTAATTAGCCCTGATGATATCACCTAGCTTAGTAATGAAACATTACTAAGAATTACAATTAACATTACAAGAAAACCACCAAGCGCAGAGAACACCAAGGACCTCACAATTTAATCTCAAGATTTAAATATTCTCACTGTTGGAAGTATTGAGCAATCTGGTAAGGAAATAACTGTGAAAGGATGACCTGGGGGTCATCAATTGTTTAGTGAAAAACTAAGCTCACATGAATTTTACTGTCCTCATTGCCAATCTGGGTACCTACGAGACCATCTTTTGCCACCAATAGCCTCCCACCGACCAATTCGTTCTCACAGGGAGGGACTACTCAGGGTACTGTCAGTCAAATTATGCCGACTGGCGACTCCCAGGGGGAGGGCCTTCTCTGTGAGGGCTCCAACCCTTTGGAATGAACTGCCCCGTGAGATACGAAATATCCCTGATCTCCGTGCTTTCCGCCGTGCCCTCGAAACCCTGATGTTCCAACAAGCAGGGCTAAACATATGAACATGTGAATGTTTTTAAAATGTTATCTAATTTTAGGTTCTACTTAATTGGGCCAAACTATGTTATAATAATAATTTTAATTAGCAATTTTATGATGTTTGTGTATCTATATTTTTCTTGACTGTACACCGCCTTGAGTCCTACGGGAAAAAGGCGGTATAGAAATATAATAAATAAATAAATCCCTATCCTGCATCTAAAAACCAGAATTGTGCAAGCAGAATGGAAATTCTGCTTCTTCAAAGTCAAATTTGACACCTTCGAACTTTAACATTGGAAAAGACTTCTGAGAATACAGTAGACAGCCAAGAAAATAAACAAAAGGATCATCAAGCAACTCAGTCCAGAATTTTAATTTCGGGCACAAATGCCCAGGCTGAAATTATCATACTTCGGACACATTATGCAAAGATCTACTTTCTACAGAACCCTATAGTGCTAAGGTGGGGGGGAGGAATTGAAGATGTTAGCCTGCCACAAGCCAGATTCGTTCAGTTACAGTGTTGATGGGTGACCGCCTGAAGCACCATATAGGGATCAGATCAGTGGTGGGATTCAGCCAGTTCGCACCACTTTGGGAGAACCGGTTGTTAACTTTCTGAGCAGTTTGGTGAACTGGCTGTTGGAAGAAATCATTAAGGCAGAGAACCGGTTATTAAATTACTTGAATCCCACCACTGGATCAGATCCTCCCGGAGAAAACCTATTTATGTGGTCACTAAGAGCTGACACCCACTTGAGGGCATATATAATCAACTGTGTCTCTATTTCCAGTCATTGCCAATCACCTAACTTTTTTTTCCCCATCCTAGTAGATTAAAGCGCAGCTAATTTTTACACACCTTGAAGCTGATTTCAGATCTGGCGAAAGAATTTAACTCCTGCCTAGTTAAGGCCACCATTAAACTTGTCAACTGAAGAAAATAAACCACAGGTGGAAAAAGAAGATTGCCAGGGCTCGCTCAAGCCGCGGGGGCGATTGAGAACCAGCCCTGGCGTCCATCAAAAGGCACTGACAGCACAAGCTATAAACCAGAGGTCTTCAAACTTGGTAGCTTTAAGACTTGTGGACTTCAACTCCCAGAATTCCCCAGTCAGCTATGCTCTGCTATGCTGGCTGGAGAATTCTGGGAGTTGAAGTCCACAAGTCTTAAAGCTGCCAAGTTTGAAGACCTCTGCTATAAACGTACCCACCTCCTCTAGCCGGCGCCGCAACCTCTCACGCTTCTTGCGAAGCCGCTCCAGATCCCGCACCATCTCTTGACATCCCGACAGAAGCATCGCCTCGTCGGCGCTCCGGTCGGCCGCCGGTTTGCGCAGGATTCGAGACACCTGGGCCGAACGAGGGGGGGGGGGAAAAAAGAGAGGAAGGGAAGGGGGCGTGTTGCCAAGCCGGCGCCTCGGAAAAAGCCGCCCCGCCTTGATTTCTGGCCACCCCGCCTTACCTGCCTCCGTCGCTCCCGCTGCTCTTCTTGACGGAGGAATTCAGCGCGAGCCGCCGCTTTCCGCTCCGAGCGACTCAAACTTCGACCAGCCGCCATCCCCTTGGGTAGTTTCCGGGTTCCTATCGGCCGAAAGAGGAGGGTTCGGCTACTTCCGCTTCCGGCGACGGACGACGCTCGGCGGCGATTGCTTGTTGCCCTGGGGACACAAAACTTATCTTCGCTGCTGTTGCCAGGCTCTTCGTTCCAAGATAGAAGCTGAGGACACAGCTCTACCTGCTACTTCCGGTTGGACTTGTCTTCCCATGTAGACAAAGCCTGGCGTTTCTATTACCTCCATAGAGAATAGGGTCGAATTCCCGCTCTCTTCCTTGCTTGGGAAAGTGCGCTCTCTTTCGGATTGGGGGTTTAAAAACGATGCTGGTCTAAGGATAATTGCGCTGCTCCGGCCCCTCCTTCTCCGAGACCCCCGTGGTGGCCGCGTGCGAAATTCTGTCCGCGTGGATTCTGTCGCTGTTCTTCCGCATCAAAGCAAATTCCATGATGTGCAGTGCAATCCTTTCAAGCGCAAGGTCTTCGGTAACGATGCTTATCTTGATTGACTTATTCCCCGTAACCAGAAACTATTGTCTACTGCTGAACGTTACATACGAATATAACAGGGAAAGCATTGCTCAGGGCATTTAACTCATTAACTATTAACTCATTAATTAATTAATTAATTCTCATTAACTCACTAATGAGAATTAAGCGTTCTGTTGGTCTTACTCGAGTAAGAAAAAGTGGAATATTTTTTTTTCCTTTCAAAATCCAACGACCAAAGTCAACCATATCATCTTATTTAATGCATTAAAAAATACAAAGGGAAACTTGGCAGTGAGAAAAAGGCCTCATATTAGGGGAAAGTTTAAAAATACTGTACTCTTGGGCCTCCCTAAGTTCTGCATAAGCTTTCATCAACCGCTCCATTTTTAGTGTTGTGAACTAGTATGCAAAAGCTTATACTTTAACGTTTAAAGGGCCTGGAGATTTTGCTTGTTTTATTTTTGCTGCATACTGCCTTGGATTTGTTACATGAAAGCTTAAAGCTCTTGTAGCAACAAGTTAACCTACCATTGATTGTATTAGGCAAAAAAGTGCACATTTTTTGAAGTAAGCTTGCCAATGGCCATGTTTGCACAACTTACTGAACCACAAATCAGTCAGCTGCATTTTAGCTTTACTGTAGCACTTTAGCTTTAGGGTGTTGGTTTGGGTTAATTGTGTTCAATGTCATGTGAATGCAGCAAATTGGGTTGAGTGAACCATGCTTAAATAGGTCATGTAAATGCACCCATTTTTAAATGCTGACTACCAGTTGCTCTTTTGTTAGAGGTATGTGCTTCCCATACTACACAGATCCAGATAATATCAAGATTCCTTTTTCTTTCTTCATCATATTAGGCTAATGTGATCTGTAGAAAACGAAAATGTTGCATTCTTAATACCAGAAATGGACAGAGGCTCTTATAATTTTGTTTTTACATTGCTTCAGATGCCATTATGCATTTTGACATAAAATAGAACAGTGCTATTTGCCACACTATCTTAGACTAGACCTTGTCTAGTTGAGTGCTGAAAGAGAAATCTGAAATATCAGCACAGAAACGTTTCTTCTATTAGTTTGTTTTTGTATTGACAGGTTTCTTTCAAACATAAATAATGTTGAAGAGAACCATCAACAATGTTGGATATGGGCACTGCTAAGAAATACATAATAAAGAAAAAACAGGTCACTATCTATAATTATGCTATACTTGATAAATACAAAAATGTTCACTTTGCTCTTAAATCCTATACGTATTAGCCCAACTCCAGCACATACCAAAATAACCTGAATAATAGTGTTGTTTTAATATAACTGAATTTTTAAATAAGATGCTATATAAAATCTAACCTGCCTACCTTATCTGAGCTGCAGAAATCTAGATAATCATTACATGGCAGCAAATAGCTACCTCTTTCTTGTTGTTTAGTGGTCATCTAGATTATTACAACCCAGATATGTCAGTCCTAGAGCACAAACCCAAAGATTTGCATATTTAAATGCATGATTTCAAGCTTTAAAATTTTTAAAGTACAGAAATAATCCAAAAACAGGGAGATTAATGTAAAAGGACCGTAACCTGATTTCACTAGAAAGCAATATGTAGTTTTCTGTACTACAGTAGATAAAGACCTATGAATATGCTATTTGAATAAGTATATTTATCCACCACAAAATATTGAATATAACTTATTCATTCTTGGAGGAAAGGGATGTCGAATAAAAATATAACCCTGAGGCAAATAATCTGGACAGTTTATAATAAAACAATCACACCAATGTTTTGAGCTGGAAAGGATTCCTGGGAAATTTCCAAATCCAAATAAGAAACTAACTTGACTTTTCAAGCAGCAGGGAGCAGATTGTGTACACAATGCATGCAAACAGTTAAATCTTAAAAGTTCTTGTCAGCAACAGAACAAGTTTAGCAACCCAAACCTGCTCAGTGATATCATAGGGGCCAGCCTCTTTAAAGATGTTTATTGGTCATATACAAAATAAAGAATGCTTCATATCAACATACACTATATACATAAATAAATTAACAACACCTCCACTGGGGCTGTGGCAACAAATCCCCAACAGTTATCTACAGATTGAAAAAGGACAATAATTTAGCAATAAATACTGATTAATTACTTGGGCTCGACTGTTGTACAGGAGAGACCCAGGACATGACAGTATGCTTTTACACCCCTAACATATAGAATTCATCTCCAGTTGTATCAGCTTTGGAGACTGAATTTCTTATTATCAAAATGTTCCTTCCTGACCTTTTAAACAAATATTTTAAAGCAGTAGTGAAGTCATTTCAATTAATATTTTTAAGGACTATCTTCAACATTTGGAGAGTAGGGAGGAGCAGTCCATCAGTTCAGTTTATTAAGTACACCAAATATAATTTAGTTTCTCCATAATATTCCAGTTTGACAAAGGATGTAATAAATTCAGAGCAAACCGCAGGTGAGGACAAGGACAAGTAGCACTTGAAACTGTACGGGAATCCCAAACACCTTTGCATAGCCAAATAGTGACGTATCTTTACTGGGAATCAGGAGACTACTCACTCAACTGTGCAGTGCCTCTCATTCAGGCAAGTGTCAGCTGCAAGCAGCTAGAGCTCACATATACTGTATATCACATCTGGAAGGGGAATAAGTCCTCAGTACTTGGAAGAACTACTTGCCTGAAGCTCACAGCTAGACCACCACGTGATCCTTTCTGCATAGGGAGGAGCAATCCTCTGTATGAGCAGTCACAGCTATTCACTGTTATATTACAGGAAACGGCAGCAGTGCTATTAAACCAGAAAGGAAGATTCCTGCACGTTAATTAATTATTTTACTAACAAAATACAGTTTGAGATATCAGAAAGAGGTGAAAGGCAAGTTGTCAGAAAGTGCTTCTATCTTCACTGGCACAGAAGACAAGGGGTACCACTGGAACACACTACTAGTCCAAGTGAAAGTAATATATAGATATGCCAGCTCTGCTTACTGCTAGATTATAGTGAAATGCTATCCTACTTCACTGGGATGTGCCAGTGTACAGCAGATGCAAAAACTTGATCAAGGACACAAGGAACAACAAATGTTTAATGTCTTCTATGCACAGTAGTACATTCCCTCCTGCTCCTGCATCTGTTTCACCCAGGAACATGTTCCTCAAGGACCTAACATCTGAGTAGCCTCTACCCATTGCTAACCATCACATTCCTCAGTTCTTAGCCTGCAGGTTTTTCTTGCGTTTTTCTGGAAAGAAAAAGTTGTTTCATTATCCAAAATATCACTTTTACATAATTCACCACGACATAAAACAACCCTACCTTTCCCACCCACCCAAAGCCAGCCACATGAGGGCAGAATGCTACTTCACGGAGCTTTTCTGCATCCAGGTAGAAAGCAACGCTCCCTAACCTGTTGCATCAAGCAAAATGCCCCATTCAAAACAAAACAACAAAACAAAACAAAAACACCCTTCACAGCAGGAAAACCAAACAGTCACCTATAAAACAAGAACCATCACACTCTGGATGCTATATACCAGAAAACAAATTGAGGGGCAAGGGCTTGAGAGGGGAATCTAGGACAGACAAAAACAAAACCCATGAACACTAGGAGACAGACTGAGAGTAAAGGAAGCTGGGAGGTATGGAGGGTTCCCTTGTCTTCTCCCCCACCTCCGGCTGGAAGATTTACCACTGAATTCTGGAGCCAGACTTGCTCAATAAATATCCATTTGCTTATAAGAATGTCTTGCAACCCACTCAGATGAAGATACCATCTCACTTATCTAGCCTGGAAAAGGGCAAAAGGCGCATCTTTAGAGGAAGAGACTGAGTCTTGTGGCACCTTAAAGACAAGCAAATATATTATGGCATAGATTTATGTGGACAAGTCAACTTCAGTAGATGAAGTATTACCCCAAATTGGCCAATTAATACTGCATACAGGGTGTTTATGGAGAAAACTGTTACTGTAGGAAGAATAGTCAAAATCTAATTGCAAGAAATATAGATTGCACTTCAAATATATTTTAACATTTTTAGTGACCACAGACTAATGCAGATAATATCGATACCTTGTAATGTTTGTTACCAACTTTGCAGAAAATGGAAACTATAGTATTAATGTATGTGTGTGTATAAGATTTAATAAAATTATTAGTCTGTACTTTTTTATATCTAAAATGTGTCTGGATAGTTGTATTTATACACATATATCAGAGCCAATTTGATATCATCGCATGGATCTGATGGAAGTAAATTCTAATCCACAAAAGATGATGTAATAGTTTTTAAAGTGCCAGGACACTATTAATTTTGCTACAAAAACCAACCTAGCCACTCTTATAAAATCCCAGAGGACGGGCTTTCTTTATCAGAGGCTTCTCACGGCATCTAGGATCTTGATTGTAAAACAAGCAACCCCGGAAGAAGAAGCATAAAAAAAAAAAAAAAAAGATTTAGCCAATTCTAAGGATTGCCAATCAAGAAATGTCTAAGATGATATACGGACATGGAACTGAAGAGATCCAAAACTATTCATCTGGCTGAAAAATTCCTATTTCAGAAATGCAGCCCAACACAGAACTCTATTTTGACAGTATGGAACTATCACCAATGTCTTTGTCTTGCTTTCCTTGGGGCAACGTGCAAATATGGCACAGAGAAGCATGCCAAACAATGGAGGGACAAATTCTTGAATTAAAGCTCAGATATAAGAGTTGTTTCCTCATCCATCCATCCAGGTGACATAAATGCATTTCATGCAACTCTCAAAGGAAGCTATGACCAGGAGACCTAAAAGTTCAATCCAGAACTGACCTCTTGTTTATAAATTTGATGGTGAGAAAATCCCAATTATACATTTTTATTTGCATGTTTGACATAAAAGCATAAATATTGCTTATTTCAGTTACAATTGTTTGGTTTTCACAGAATTTGGACTTCTTTGGCAAGGACTAGAAAATGGAAGGCAATGAAGGGAAGAAATTATCGACAGCTTAAGGATGGAAAGAAAGATGCAAGGAGGTAGTGTGATATGGAACAATTAAACGTAAGAAATTTCTGGCTCTAGTAATTCCGCACAGATCTGCATTGGTTTCTAAGTCTTTCAAATTAGCAGTGATACCCCAGGGGGAATTATCAGATTTTACTAACATCAACATTGCTCAGAGCAATTTATTTAACACAGGTAGTTTTTAAGATCAGAAACCTACATGCCTTAGTAAGGCAAGGCTTAGTAATAACTGCTATTGTATGCAGCAACCTGTGATCCATTCCTTTTAAATCTAAAATAAAAAGTAGCAACTAATGTGGCAATGGTGATTTTTGGGTAGATTCTGGAGCCAGGGGAAGTGCATGTTCACATTAAAGCACCTTATTTTTCTCTTTCTCTGACATTTGCTGTTCTTAGTGCCTATGTATCCCTCAGTCGTATTTTGCACATCTGTAATTTAAATATGCCAAGAATAGCACAAAAAACAATTAAAAACACCTCCAATCTACTGTGTCAAAAGGGCAGCTGAGATATTGTAAGGAACTAGTGCCCTTCCCTCCATTTCAGGAGAATAGTCTGCAGAGGATAGTGGTCTTACAGTGAGAAAAAAGGGAGTTCCAGCAGATATGAAGATATTTTGAAGGCAAGTCCTCATTAAAAGCCTTTTTTCCCTCCAGCATACTCTAGGCAGCAAAACTTTGCCAGTTAATAGATATCAGGAATATCATTTTCAAGGAATGGATTCTCAGCTGATTTTTGTGACTAGTTCTTTCTGGATATGAACTTGCCTTAGAGCTTATTTGAATTTATTAACTCTGCTTTAAAAGTTATTAAAGCTACTTTTTCTTTCTAACCACTGAGACTTAAGAGTTGGAAGTTTTTGAAAAGCTGCAAGAGGTTTTTGAGCCCAGTCTCAGCTGTGGAAATTTCCAGAATTCACTAGCTATGTCATTAAAACAGATTCTAGTATCTGTTAACTAGAAAATGGCCAAATATGGTGATCTCAAGTGTTCTGAATAGGCCAGTACTCAATGCTTACCAGCTGTCAATAATTGTGCTCATTCTGATGGCCAATTTTCTGAGCAAAAGGTCAAGTGCCCACCTAGATACAAATTCACATGTTCCTCTTGGTAACACACCCATCACTCCCTCCCTGTAGCCAATTACAAGGCAAGCAACAGAGAAGGTAAAGCAACTTTCTTTGTCTGTAATGAGTAGCTCTTTCAGAGAAACTAGATTAGGTTTCCTCATAAACTATGTATCCAGAAGGTAAAACAATGAATTTGAACTTCCCCGGGTCATGTTGACATACTCTTTAGACCTTGTTGAGTTTCTGGCTTAGATCCCTATGTAATGTTCAACATGCTAAACATAGAAGGAAACAGGTAAGAGGTAACAAAATCTCTGTGGTATTACCAGAAAAAGAATCCTGCCACAATAGTGGATCTTTGCAAATGCTACATACAATCCAACCCTAGAAAACATATTTTGTGGACCCTTTGTATGATATGCTGTAAATTGTTTCATATTCCTACATTAACAGGAGTGATCCCTTCTAACCCATTACCATTGCAACTCTGGATTCAACCTTTAGGAACACCCAGTCCCAGCCAAAAAAAAAATAAATAAATTTTTTTTTGGCAATTGTAATACAAGTGACATGATATAATGCAACACTGTCTGCCAGCTATCATTAAGCAGTTTAGTTAACCTCTTAAAAGAACTCATTCTTTTCAGGCTTCAGATTCAGATAATTTTTCTCATGAGACAAAACCTTTAGAAGGTCTACTGGCAAATGCCCCAGAAAACCTGCACTCAGCCCTGGGAAAGCCGAACGAATGCTCACAGGACACCCACATAGCAAAGTGGCCACTGGCACCATCACGTCACAGCGCCACAAAAGACCTCAGAGCACAGACAACTAAATACAACAGGAATACAAAAGAAGCAGATGGGGAATTCAAGAATAAGTCACTTTTGGTACAATTGCAAAAAGATATCAAACAGGACTAGCCTCTTTTTTTGTTTTTTTTTCCTATGTTATTTATAAATAAAAGTCTAATAACTCTTTATAAAAACCAACCTCAGAGCCACAAAGACTTAACGAGAAACTTTTAAAATTTGCATTTTCTGTCTCCCAAGAATATGGCAATCATATATTCTCACCTTCTCAGGCTAAAGGGAGACTGTTAAATAGAAGTGCTTCACCGAATTGTAGATTTGAAACTTAGATCATTTAATAACTCTTTAAATGAATGCTTCTCTTTTAAATAAAGGGCTATTTAAACTACATAAACTAGTTGTGTAAACCATCACACTAGAGACACTGGATACTCTCCAAACACAGAAAACAACTAGTGATTTTGGTCTTGTTCAGTGCAACACATTAGGCACAAAACCGGCCTGTGGTCACTGCAATGTAACCCACTTCGTCTGGTACGTAGATACAACCGTGCTCATTCCTGGCTACTTTCCTTCCTCTGCAGGAAATAGCTGTTTCCCCACTTTCCTCTCCTTCAGGAAAAATCCTAAGGAATCCCATCTTCAAACCTAAAAGGTGCAACTAGATGGTAATATAAAAATGGTTACACAAACTACCCCCCTGATACCAAGCAATTTACAAGCAGCAGACTGGACAGCTGACTCAACCCTGGAAGAACGGTATTGAAGTCATCACTGACAGTAGATCTTCCAACTCTCTATGACCTCTTCCCTCCCCTTTGGGTTATTCCTACCCAAGAATGGATTCCATGCTGCTGAAAATCTCTTTTGGCAAGAGTACTGAGGTCCTTCAGCTTCCGTTTTCAGAACACACTAGGTGGACGGTTCTGTTCACAATGGAAAGGTTGCGTTACCATCAGTCACACCAACCAGAACAAGCTAAAAACAAAGCAACTGCAGTGACAAGCAGGCCAGCGTGTGCCTGTGTGGGCTAGGCCATCTGGGAGAGGGTTGTGCTTTGGGGATTCCGGATGAGCTTTGTGCCTAACTGCCCTGCACAGACAAGCCCAGGCAGTGCTCGTTTCACTAAGACCGGGCGTCCGTTTTGGATTTAACTATTGTGATAACGCTGGTGGCGGCAACTTTGCCGGGAACAAGGGGCCCCATGCTGGAAGCAAGTGGGCCCCGGGCAGGGGTGACAGGGCTCCGGGCAACGGTCCGGGCGAAGTTCTGCAGTGCCTCGTACTTGGAACGCAGGGCATCAAGTTCCATTTTCATGCTAGCATTCTCTGAAGCCAGCTTCTCCACTTCCTGCTGAAGTTCTGCCTTCTGTTTCTCCAACTCTTCCTTCTGTGTTACCCTCTTGACCCGGCAGCTGGCAGCATAGCCTCTGTTCTTCAGGGTCCGGCGGCGTTGCTTGAGTTGGATTATCTCTTCCTTAGATAAGCCCCGCAGATGCTGGTTCAACTCTCGTACAGACATGGTCACCAGCTCTTCATCTGTCAAGCTGGTCCCATTCTCCCCTGGCTCCCGCTTCACCTGCAGAGACCGTAGAAACATGCTTTAGTGGAATTCTGGTTGCATGCATGGCCAGCTAACCCCAAGTCTTGCCTTATTACCTTCAAGGCTTTGTTTCCTTTGTTGGGGGTCGTCATAACACGCAAGCCTTCACAATCAGATTCTGTAAGATACAAAATGGGTAGATGTTATCAAAGTCAAGTTCTACATCATCCAAAAGCAGCTATATATACTCAGACTAGGCAAGAAAGGAAGCACCAAATACAGGTATTCTCTATATAGCATGAACCAACTGTGGGATTTACATGAGCTCTTGACAAATTCTGTCCAGTCTCTGCCAACCCCACAGCTTTCTATAAATCTTAAGAGCAAATGCTCACGAAAAGGAAGATTTGGAAGTTTGGGAGGAGCTGGAGTAGGATGAAACCACATTTAAAAATAGCCTGGCAGCCAGGGTCCTGCATGGCTGTGCTGAGCCAGTCATGCTGACTCAGCATATTAGCAGCCTTGCTCAAAGTGCACGCCTTATACTACAGTACAGCCTAGGAAGAGAGCTGCAGTCTAAGACAGTTGCCAAGGAATTACCCTTATACACTCCTCTTGATAGGGTTCAAAGCAACACTATATCCCCCACCCTTGTAAGGGAAAAGTATTCAAGAATACCCCCTATTTAAAAAAATATGTCAATTAATCAATTCTGCCTGAAGCATTTATTTATCTAGAAAACAGAACAGCAAGACAAGGGGATGGAAGGAAAGGACAGACAAGGGAATAATGGGAAACATTACTATATATACTATGAATAGTCATTACTGAACACAAATCTATTATTGTGGTTCTGATAACCTGTCTTTTTTTGACTAGCTTTTTCCATGCATGTTAATAGAAGAACAGTGGTAAGTACACAAAGTTGGGAAAAATAAACAAATTCATCTGGGTGGGATTCTGAGCAGCAATGCAGAAATTAAATATTTCCATTTGTTTCCCTGTCCAGTTGCTTCCTTTCACATTGCCATTTTACCAACAGGACTAAAAATAACCTGAGATACAGCAAATTTTTTAGAGATGCAGATAAAAATCATCCCCCTTCTTATGAAATCACCTATTCACTTATTGCATGGGTGTCAAACTGGTGGCCCACAGCCCGGATGTGTCACGCAAAGACCACACCCACCCCAGCTCTGCAAATGGGAAAAACGTTGTGAAACATTACATGACGGCAATGTGACGTGGCAAGTTTGACACCTGTGACTTAATATGTTCATGTTGCATTGTTCTAAATTTCCAGATAACTCATTATTTAGGAAATATGTGCTGCTGATAACTTATTGTTTATTATTTCAGAAGTTCTTCCAAAAGTGGAAAATTTAAAGAAATTTTAAAATTATGAGAATGAGGCGTCCTCATTTATGCTTTTAGCATGTATCATATAGGTCTTGGATGGAGGCAATTGAAATTATAATATCATTATTCACAAGAAATACAAGTTTTCTGAGATAACACAAACATTTGCTAGCAATTTTACATCACCTGAACACACTAATCTGTATTAATCTTACATTACTGAAACCACTACTGTATTTTTCAGAGTATAAGATGCACCGGACTATAAGACGCATCTACCTTTTTTGGTGAGGAAAACAAGAAAAAGAAATCTGCCTCTGCCTCCCAGCAATTTTGCCTCCTTATAGCAAACATCCTGCTTTACTTTCATTTTCGTTTTCAGCATAGCTTGATTAGCACAAGGGGAAAAAAAAAATCTGCTCCAGCAATTTATCTCCTTGCAGCAAGCAGCAGAGGCCTGCGCAAAAAAGCTGAGAGTCGGGAGGCCGATCCAATCAACTTGTGCTAATTAGGCTGTGCTGAAGCTGAAAGGAGCTGTTTCTTCTTGCTGTTTGCTGCAAGGAGGTAAAGTGCTGGGAGGCAGAGGCCAAAGAGTGGGAGCCAGTGGTGGGCGGGGCTGCATTCGGTGTATAAGACGCATCTAAATTTTCACCCCCTTTTAGGGGGGAAAAAGGTGTGTCTTATACTCCGAAAAATAGGTACTTAAATTCACAAGAGCTCTTTCTTAGACACACATAATCACAAATAGAGAAATCTTGTCATTCACTGTGGCTGTCTTGAGAAAACCAAAACTACCCACCAGTTTCCTAAACAGAGGAAATCAAATACTTCCATTCAACCTTCAACTATGTGCAAGAATAGTTACTTTCTCTTAAAGAAGGCCTGATAGCTCCCCGAAACCACTGAATCAGATGTTGTAAATTACCTTTACTACCTTTAATTACTCCTCTGGAACAGATCAGATGCCTCAATAATTGCTCCCCACACCCCTCAAAAAAGATGCTTTTTAAGGAAGGAAAAAAATGGCCAGAGGTAACTCAAGCACAGAGAAGTCACCATAGATAAGGATTTTTATGTTTATCTCTCACTCATGGGCCTCCACACATGGCAGCACCTGGCTGACAATATCTATGCTAATAAGCTATGCAGGGTCTGGGCTCATGCTGAAAAACCTTTTTTCAGCAAGCAGGGCTGGCTTAACTCTTTTAAATGTTTTTAATTGGTTTGTTATTGTTTTTAATTACGGGGCCAAATTTATATATATCTTTTTAATAGTATTTTAATGTTTGTAGTTTATGTTTTTATTTGGCTGTACACCACCCTGAGTCCTTAGGGAGAAGGGCGGTATATAAATCTGATATAAAATAAAATAATAAAATAAAATAAAATAAAATAAAATAAAATAAAATAAAATAAAAAAAAATAAAATAAAATAAAATAAAATAAAATAATAAATAAAATAAAATAAAATAAAATAAAATAAAATAAAATAAAATAAAATAAAATAAAATAAAATAAAATGTGGGAGACCATCAAAGCATTTCATGGGGCTAGACATCAAGCCAAAAGACATCTCAGGGAATAATATACCACCTCCATAGCAAAACTACATGGATGTGGATTACCTTTTACTCATCCAAGCATATCATCAGTATTTACATAATAAATGCCTCTTCCACACCAACCGAGTTCTTGTTTGCTGAGTGTATAAAACATCAGTTCACATTTATAGCAAAGAACCAAGACAAGCTAGTGTCAGCAAAAGAAGAAAAAAAAAGGTCCCTGAGCAGCACCCCAGAAGGGATGGCTTCAGCGCTTTCCAAGATCACTAATAAGCCAGCAAACAACTCAGATACTCCTAGAGCACCGGAAATTGCTGACAAGCCAAATTCTTGTGCCCAAAAGACATGGCTACAGTCACTGATTAAAGCTCTAACATACTTAATATAGTGGGACACAAGTGTCTTAATGGGGCTCCACTGCCTTATTTTTTCTTTTGCAGCTAAGAAGCAAGTTTGAAACATTTATTAATTGTACAGTAAGACACATACTGTACTGTACAGTTTACTGTGCTTTACTATCAAAAAGTTTTAGACCCACAATTTGGGAATCAGTATCTCAAGTATGTGGGTAACATAGTCACTAACCAATAACCATGTTTTTTTATTAGAAAAAAATTACAAGAGGAAGAATGTTTCCATTACTGTAACACTGCTTGAAATATTGGTTAAGTACACACTGGGGCAGAGACAACTACCGTACATTCACCAATTTTTATGTATATATATATAAATTTTCCAGCTTTATCTAAAAGCCATATGCAGCCATAGGAACCAGGAACAAAACTTTAAACAAAGCAAGGGATGTCACCTATTCATTGAAAAGTCAAATCTAACCTACACTTCTTTCCTATATAAGTTTTATCTATGACATGTCAGTGTTAAGTACCATTGCTAACACTCATGTGAGAGAAATATGAACACAGGCAACACAACCAAACTGCATGACCAAAAACAGATTTGGTATCATACTGTAAATCCAGTACAGGTCAGAGCCTTAAGAATCACTTTGCTAGCATTAGTGACAATCAATAAAAAATCCCAAGGAAATGTTGCCTAGTAGGAGAGTATACAAAAGATTAACCGCCTGGATTTAGTGAGGCTCTTCATAGGGCAAGTACTGCACTTCTAGTACATATCAGTATTAATGCTTAGGAAAGCAATTAACATGTGGGAAGTGGAAAGTGAGAAGATTGCACAAAAGGATGGAAAATTGACTGGAGCTGATCTTCATTGTTAAAAGTGATGGGCATAGATTGCTGTGTAGAAATATTAGGTCCAGTAGCTCTGAGAGTCAAACACAAAAAAGGTTCATTTGTCCTAAACTTCTACAAATTAAGAATCTTTTAATACAAGGAGTATAACATTAGTTATCAATATCATATATCATATAGATTCAATCGTAGAAAGATTCATTTCCATTCATCGTTCATAAAAAAAAACTAAGGAAAGTGATTATTAAGTGGAAAAAAAACCTATGAAAATTTTCACATTCTGTATTATGCCTGAATTAGGATATATACAAAGTTTTTTTTACAGCCCTGCACAGAAGCTGCACTTGTGAATATTTTGCAAGAAGGACAGCCAGAGAGAATTGGCATCCAGACAGAGACAAACTTGGTCTAACTCCCTAGACTGCTGATTTCTCAGCTTTTTGACAGCTTCCCGAAGAAAGATCACACTGAAAAGTGCCAAGTGCAACGGCTGTAAAGGAAAAAAAGTGCAACCTCAACACATTTTGCCAGAAGTCCAAAAGGCCTGCACTCAGCACAAGTGCCGCCAATTCTTTGCTTACAACAGAGCTGACAGCAGAGTGCATGATTCAACACAGGCCCCATTCTCAACATTCCTGGTTCAGCGCGCTATGCCATCAAACTAGTGTAAACACAATGACATCACCCATTCCAGCAGTAAAGGCAGCACTATCATTGGAAGAAGAAAAAAAACTTTAAGAGATGAAAAAGAAAACAGGCTACAGGGGAGAATCAGAAGCTGTAAGAGGTTTTCCCACATGCGTAGTGTAAAAAGCAGTGTTGACACTATCTTGTTCCCATCTACATGTATATGTCTCTGCTGTTCATACATTTACAGAAACTTGTCTACAAATAACTTCCCAATTAGCTTCCTAAACTTACATTGACATTTTAGCTAGTGCTCTTAACTGGGCAAAAGAATGTAGAAGAAAATGCTTGCCCTGTAAAATATCCAGAAAGATACCATCACTAGGGAATATAGCCTCCTCCAAATCAACATGACTTGC